GGCACCAGCCACATTCCAGAGTCCTTCAAGGCTGTGAAGACTGGTCTGTGGCGTACTTGGATGACGTGGTAATCCATAGCAACTCTTGGGCAGAGCATCTTCAACACCTCCAACAAACCCTAAAGAGGATAGAGGAAGCAGGATTGACGTTAAACGTTTCAAAATGCGAGTGGGCAAGGCAAGAGGCAAACTACCTTGGGTATCACCTGGGCAACGGACAACTGAGACCACAAATTGACAAGGTGGAGGCAATTCGAAGGAGCCCACAACCAAAGACCAAGAAAGAAGTGAGGTGATTCCTAGGACTGGTGGGCTGGTACAGGAGATTTGTACCAAACTTTGCTTCCATCGCGGTCCCCCTGACCAACCTGTTGTCCAAACCGGTGAAGAACCCTATTCCATGGACCGATGACTGTGAGACAGCTTTCCCTACGCTAATAGACAAGATGTGCTCCAGCCCGGTCCTGCAGAGTCCAGACTTCTCTCAGAGGTTCCTGGTGCAAGTAGACGCGTCCGCAACGGGGATTGGTGCGGTCCTTGCCCAAGGAATCGCTGGAGACGAGAGGCCAGTTGTTTACCTCAGCCGCAAGCTACTGCCCAGGGGAAACTAGATATTCGGCGGTCGAGAAGGAAGGTCTCGCCATCAAGTGGTCCCTGGACAGCTTGCGCTACTACCTCCTTGGTCGAGAGTTCGATCTAGAAACCGACCACTGGGCCCTAACCTAGATTTAGTCCATGAAGGACCACAATGCCAGAGTCACGCGGTGGTACCTCGCCCTGCAGCCGTACTGCTTCAAGATACGGCACCGACCGGGCAGACTCAACGTGGTAGCCGACTACCTGTCTAGGTTTCCGGCCAGTACGCGGCATGGAGAGTGGGAAGGTGATGTGATAAAGTCACATTAGCTGCCACCGCTGGGGAAGCAGCACTGGCACACACACATACACACACATACTGACCTCAATCATCCACGTCTCGTTCCACCCTGCCATTGCCGCTATCATAGGAGCGGGTGCACACGCGATGCTGAGAGCACATGGACATTCATCTATTTCTCTTATGTCTCCCTTCCATATTAAGCAGAAATTAATATAAATGTGCGTTTTATTTCGTTTTAACGACATATCTCGTTATTATGACATAATTGAGTGGAAAAAATAATATGTGGCAGCAATGCGCCACCGTAGACTATACTCCCCTCTGTGCACACCGCGTCTGTCTCCATGAAAACGAGATCATCCCTGGAAGCGTGGAAGCTTAGCCTATTTGGTACAGAGAAGATGGCTGACGCAATATTTTTTTGGCGAACTCTTTTTTTTACTTGTTCTACCTTACATATTTGTAATATTTGTATATAGTTTTTTTTTAAGTTCAATAAATGTTCCTTTTTTTAAATTGAGTTTAGTAGCATTTGTTATCATCATTGTGTAATTTTTATGATGTAAATCGAGGGAGCAAAAGCAGTGTCGGCTCCAAATATAGGCTCAAGAAAATTGGCAGCCCGTATCGGTCATAGGGCTGATGAAAAAAAAATCGGTATCGGCACTAAAAAATCGATATCGGTCGATCTCTACTCAGGACCTTGTTCAAAATCCTGCCGCGCCACAGAGTGCCATTTACATAGTTTTATATTAAATTTTCATTTATTTGTCTCAAATCGTCATTAACGTATATACTGACTTCACCCTGTGCTGCAATATACATTTGGTTTTACATTCATTTACATAAATCAGCTGCTTGTATGAAAATTGCTGATGTTATCCAGATTTTCAGGTGATATTTTTAATTCATTCAGTTAACGGACGCTCTGAGGTAAAGTGTTCAGACTTCAGACTCAGCAACGATTGTATTTAATTGTACAATACAATCATAACATAGTACAGACATTATCTTAATTCCATATTGTCCTTAAACATAACAATATTGCTGGCCATAAACGGAGAAAGTGCGTGTCCGGTGTGCGATACCTTGAGTTGTCCTAGACGCGACGCGGCACTGCGCTTCTCAGTGTGCGACCCCCTTAACCGTAATGAAGAAAACAAAGAAAGCTAACTGCAGACTGAAAGCAAGATGGACAGAGCTGGAGGAACGAGTCCACAGATGGGTGCTTGAACAACAAATAAATAAATGCGACTTATAGTCCAGTGCGACTTATATGTTTTTTTTTTTCTCTTCATGACGCATTTTTTGACTGATGCGACTTATACTCCGGAGTGACTTATAGTCCGGAAAATATGGTAAGTTTATATAAATCTTTGACGTAAATTCTTGCCAAGGTTTTAAGGGTGCAAAGTAAATGTTTATAATGTATTCTCAAAACAGAAGATACGTATTAAACTGGAGACATGCTTCAACTTTTTTGTTTTGTAGATTATATTCAGATTGCAGCAGTTCTCAGCTCGGCACACTTACACATAGGCACTGCTGCAGCGGTTCTCAAGTCAAGAACTGTTGTTGAAGCAGTTCTCGAATCACCAGTACAGAATCAAGAACTGTTTCTTTCGGACATGTTCGATACGGAGAACCGATGAGCTGGAGATACTGAGCATGCGTGATAGCACAGTCTCTAAACCGAACTTTCTTTCGACCAACTAATGCTGTGCTGATAATATGAGCACAGATGAACCGAGGACTTGAATTAGGGGGCGAATTAGGCGAAATGTAAGTTTATTTAATAACAAATAAAACAAGCTGGATCCTGGTTTCTGTAAAAAGTTGACTAGTTCATTCACGTAAATAAAGGACAAAAGCTTAGGCCGCGCCACAGGGGCCTATATGTATTGTAATGGTGCGAAAAGTCAAACTTTAGAGGCATGTTATCAATAACCTTTATTGGAATATAAATGTACATAAGCTTAGCTGCAGGAATCTGTGAGGGCAACGGACAAGAAAATTGGTGTACCCAGGGCAGGCTTAGTAACAAATACCCTTGTATGGTTGTCTTGTCTATATATACTAAACATTAGTGCTGTCAAAATAAATGATTAATCCAAGTGATTAATCAAAAAATAAAAAATAAAAATAACTCATAATCCTGATTGATACCTTCCTGGTATGTACTATGCTCAATTATATAGCAGGGCTCTCAAGTTTTGAAGACAGGCAGCAGGAGTGACAGAATCACGTGAACAATTCCAGGATATGCTTTTTTTTCTTTGGTTGTTGCTTTAAATCTTACCCAGATACAATAGTGCTATTTTCTGATTGGCTATTGTGTAGCCCCTTTTTTGATTGGCTGATAAGTGGCTGGCTAGACTGCAGAACTCCAGGGGAGACGCGCTTGATTTCTGCCGGTTCCATAGTGAGAGCGGCGCGGCCAGAGACATTTTGGGCGCTGCGGCATATTAAATATATTATAAACAGTTTTTCCGCGAGAGAAATACAAAAGACCGAAATGAGTGACTGTGACGCTCAATGCGTGACACTTGAGAGCTCTGATATAGCTAATGGCAACAATGTTGCAGGTGCGATGCACCGCGTACAAACCAGAATATGTTTATATTTCTCATCCAACCACAATCAAATGCACTTTATCCAGATGGCGCGATTTATCTGGATAGGTTTTTTTTTTTACGATGACAAGCAGAAATGAAAACAAGGCGAAATGAAATAGCAGTAACGAGGCTATTTTTAAAATGTAAGGAGTAGAAAGTAGCCTACAGATAATTGCGTGAAAATGTAAGGAGTAGAAGTAAAAAGTCGGCAGAAAAATAATTACTCCAGTAAAGTATTGATACCCAAAATGTGTGTTTGGACAGAATACGAGACAGAGTTCTTTATTAAAATCATAAAAGACCAAATACAGGAATACTGGCTTCTAAACCTCAAAGAAATGCCACAATCAAGACCTCAGAGCAGAAATAAGTGAGAAAACACCTCACATGTGCCGCTCACAGTATAAGTCTTTCCTTGCCATTAATGCTTGGGATATCACGCTTAGGCCTATGTCTCTTTACATTATTAATAATAATAATAATGTCTAGTGCGGTGGCTGTGATTTATATATAAACCTACCAACGTCCGTTGCCATGATTTTTGGAATGACTGATTGCGAGAGGAAAAAATTACGTTTTAGTCGCATAGCATCATTTAATGGAAACGCCGTCATTTCCCAATAGTTTTTTATCGATTTTGCGCGAATCTGTAATGGAAACGCGACAGCATTTACAGCCCGTTCTCATCCTTTGGCGTCATACATGTGACGCTTTGGACATTTCGTTGAAATCTTACGCACATGGCATCCTTTAGCATCAATATGAGACGCAGAACCCAAGGCGTCATACAGGTGACGCGTTTGTCTAAATCCAACGCACATGGCATCGTTTAGCGTGAATATGAGACGCAGATCCCAAGGCGTCATAACCGTACCCTACCCCAGACCTAAACCTACCCATAACAGTGCGTGTTATATTGACGCTAAAGGATCCCATGTGCGTAAGATTTCGACGAAATGTCATATGGCGTCACCTATATGACGCCAAAGGATGAGAATGCGTTGGCATTTAACATAGACTAACTTCTCAGAGTTATAGTGTTCATTATACTAACCATTCAACTCCGGTTTGATTCTGGAGGAATAAGCACCGGTGTTGTGCCTAATTTCGACCCCCTGCCAAATTATTACCCCCCTCGTTGAAGTCAGTACCTGATTGCCTAATCCCAACCCCGCCCCTAATCCTACCCCCTCCCCCACAACTAATCCTAAACCTACCAATGCTAGGGGGGTAATAATTTGGCGGGGGTCGAAATTCGGCACAACACCGGCAACAATCCGTCCTGCAACGCATGCTCATGTTTTGATTCAGATCGTGCTCGAAGAGGAGTGGCTATTCGCGTCTCCGTTGTCAGTTTGTGAGAGTGGGAGGGAGGGAGCAAGCTGCGCGCAGCTCTACAATAAAATACAATTTTACCCATATTAAATTGTTAAAAATCTGAAAATCAATCCGTGGCGGTCAGCGTTGATATTGTGGCGGGCTGCCACAAATTAATGAATGTAGGGGGAGAGTGGGGTAAGATGACCCAGTGGGTAAGTTGACCCACCCCCTGTTTCTAGGCAACTATAAACATTTGGTGTCATGTGATCATACATTCTGAAGGACTCCATCATTTTCATTTTGCTGTGAAGAGGAGAAGCACTTGGGACAAAAGGCAAGTTTTTTTTTTCCACAAAAACACTTTTTTGCTTGTTAAAGTTAATTTTCTGCATTGCAGGTATACTAGCTGTTGTGCCAAAGCAAATGTATCTAGGTCTAAAGTTGTGTATGGTACATGTTGGTGATTTGTCAACATATAAAACTATGTGAATCATTAAGCTAAAGGTTAGCCTGAATTGCTAAGCTAGGCCGTTTTTACCAAAATGGTGACTATGGGGCAAAGTGAGCCAGATGATGTGGGGTAAATTGAACCAGTGGTTCAACTTACCCCTAACTTAAGGCACTGAAGTTACGTTAAGTTTTAAGCATAACATTGTTTTAAATATAGTATTACACAACTGTTAACCATACATTATACATTTCATAAAAGCTATCATGCCAAGAACCTACAAAAGAAGAACCAACTGGGGCTCAACACCCTTAGAAGAGATGGAGAGAGCAGCCATTGATGTTGAGGGCGGAAAATCCATCAGATCAGTGGCGAAGGATAGAAATATTGACAGGTCAACACTGCGGAGATACATAAAAAAGAAGGAGGTAAAGACAGTCAAAACAGTAGGGTACAGTGGAACAGCAGAAGCCAAGAGGGTCTTCACATTAGAGGTGGAAAAGGAGCTTGCCGATCACATCAAAAAGTTGGCTGAGCAGTTCCATGGCCTCACTCCAAAGAAATGCTGTGAACTGGCATTCCAGTTTGCACAAAAGAACAACATCCCTGTCCCCAACAACTGGAAAGAGAAGGGTTTAGCGGGTAGGGAGTGTAGGAAATTAAATTATTCATTAAGACTGAAAGTCTGAAAGGCTGAAGTCTGTGGTTTCATGACATGGTATCATTAAATTAATTCATTCTATTTTGTTAGGTCGAGATTGGTTCAAGAACTTTATGGCACGCCACCATCTTTCCTGTCGTATGCCTGAAGCAACATCTTTAGGAAGAGCTACAGCCTTCAACAAAACAACAGTCGGGGAGTTCTTTGATAATCTGACAAAAGTGATGGACAGGTGACAGAATTAATTTATTCCATAATATTAAAACAAATTCATGGCAACTATAGCAAGATACAAGAGTAAACTACATTTACTGTACAATAGCTTATCAGCCACAGTTACCAGGATATGTATTTGGGGCTGTTTAGTATGATTTTATCATTGCTTGAAAAGTTTAACTATTCTGATTTTTTGCATCATGGCTCTTGTCTTTGTTTTATAGGTTTAAATTCCCTCCAAACATGATTTATAATGTTGATGAAACAGGTGTCACAACAGTGCAGACACCAAAGCAAGTTGTGGCAGAAAAGGGAAAGAAACAAGTGGGGGCCATCACATCTGCGGAAAGAGGAGAGCTTGTGACGGTGGTCTGTGCAGTCAATGCTACTGGGAATGCAGTGCCTCCTATGTTCATCTTCCCAAGGGTTAGATACAAAGACCATTTTATTACAGGAGCACCTCCAGGATCAGTTGGTTCCTCCACCAGATCTGGCTGGATCAATGAAGACATCTTTGCTGAGTTCCTTGAACATCTGGTTCAGCATACCAAGTGCTCCTCTGACCATCCCATGCTGCTACTCCTTGATAACCACGAGGCCCATATTTTACTGAGGGCACTGGATATAGCAAAGAGTAAGGGGATTATTATGCTCACAATTCCACCCCACACATCTCATCGCCTGCAGCCTCTGGACAAGAGTGTCTATGGTCCATTCAAGACCTATTACAACAGAGCTCTTGATGGTTGGATGAGATCTAACCCAGGCAAAACAGCCAGCATATACCACATCCCTGTATGTGTGAACGAGGCTTTCATGTCAGCAATGACACCACGGAATATCTCTTCTGGATTCGGGTCCACAGGGATTTTTCCTTACAACAGAGATATTTACTCTGATGCAGAGTTTGAACCATCCATGGTGTCAGACAGGCCAAACCCTGATGTGCTGTCTACTTCTGAAGAAGATCCACCCATGGCTTCAACCTCCACCTTGACTGAGTTGCCTTCACAGGCATGTTCTTCAACTCGTGGGACAGATTCACTCCTCACCTCCCCTGTATATGTGTCTCCCACTGAAATTCTACCCTTACCCAAAAGTCAGCAGCCTAGGGCACAGACAAAGAGAAAGCGAGTGAAGACAAGGATCCTGACTGATACACATGAAAAGCAGGCAATTGAAATGGAACATGAAAAGAGAAAAAACAAACTGAAAGGGAAACAACCAACCAACATCAAAGAACAAGGAAAGTCCAAGAAGAAACAAACCAAGAAGAAAACCCTAGTGTATAGCAGCTCTGAGGAGAGTGATGTTCCCATCCCACTTGATGACACTTCTGAGTGTGACAGCTCCCAGGATGAAAGTAGTGAACCAGACATCTCAGATCTGTCAGTTGGTGACTTTATTATTGTGAATTTTGCGACCAAATGCAACAGCTACCATTATATTGGCTTGATTGAGAGCCTTGAGGGCAATGAAGTTAATGCAAGATTCCTCAGAAGAATCCGAGGGAGTACTGGCAAAGACAAAGCCACCTTTGCATTCCAAGAAAATGATGTGGGATCTGTCCCACTAAATGATGTGCTGAAGAAGCTTCCTAAACTGCGAAAGGTTGGAGGAACTGCAAGGAGGGAGCAACAACTCATATTTCCCTGCAACCTTGATGGATGGAATGTCCAATAGTCATTTTCACTATGCTGTGGTCTGGAAGTTCAAACTGTTCTTTTGTTCTCACAAGTTCAAAACTGTGAAACTGTTCAACAAAATTGGAAATTAGAACCAAACACACTGGAGGGACGTTCTTTCTGCCAAACACGTTTGTTTGTGTGCATGTGTGTGTGTGTGTGTGTGTGTGTGGGATTGGACATGACTTGATTAACAGCATAATACAGCATATAACCATATTTCTTGCTCCTGAAAAGTATGCTGGCAGTCCTTCACTTAACAGAAATATGTAAAAGTATTGTTTACCAATACAAAAAATAAAAGATTAAAGGAAAAATTAAACTTTAATTGGTTTGTTTTGTGTTGTTTGAAGTTGCTTCAAAAAAAATAACATTGTTTGGAAAGGTAAGTGTATTATTAAATTACTTTTATTTGTTAAGAGGCATGTTATTATTATTTTTATGCTTGCATTAAAACGTGAAAAATAGTATGGTCAATTTACCCCCTGATGGCTCTATTTACCCACTGACTGGGATCAACTTACCCCTAGCCTGGGGTAAGTTGAGTCACATGAACACTTTTTTTTTTTAGGTCATATTTTCAAGGCTCTTTGTCATAGGTGCATTCTTATATTTCCAGTTGATAGGCAACATCCCAAATTAACAGTAGATGTCTTCATTGAACTTTTGTCTCAATTTCCCTAGCCTGGAGATCCACATAAGTAAAAACTGGCTCATCTTACCCCACCCTCCTATGGGAAACCCTGCCAACAGACCAATACAAAAGAAACGAAACAAAGAGAAAAGAATACAGTCGGACTTTGGAGTCGAAGCCTGTCAACTAAGAGCAAAATGAAACTGCTACCCGTGCACGCAGTCCACTACCCTATTGAAAGTGATAGATTCGCTGGGAAATCCAATGTATTTCACAGACACAAATGTAAACAGAGGCTATAATCAAACTATATATGTACATATGATAAAGGGAAAAGGGGGATACACATGCCCAATGAAGAAATAAAAAATATGACACGATAAAAGTCCAAACACTATAGTCGCAAGAACGTTAGAAAAACAGGACCCATAAGGTGGATCGCCATTCAGATTCACACTGTACTACATAGGTCTTTCCACCTACTTCATTAGATGGGCTGAACTGTGAAGAAAAGGGAGGGGCTGATTATAATATTATACATACGCCGCTTTTTACGCCGTCTTTGCCAGACGGAAGCGCTGTAAATTACGGCGTACTATGGATGGTCTGCGGCGTCAGAAATGGCGTTGTTGGCTGGGTCAAAAAACAACTATAATGACGGCGATTTTGCTGTGCAAATGCCGTAATATGCGGCGTTTGTATTACAGAACGCCGTACTTTGCGGCGTCTTTTCGTCTTAAATGCTGTAAACACCGGTGGTTTGAGGTTGAAATGCGTTTGGTTAGTGGTGAAATGTGTAACTTGTTGGCTGGGTTGAAAAACAACCATAACGACGGCGATTTTGCTGTGCAAACGCCGTAATTTGTGGCGTTTGTACTATAGAATGCTGTACTTTGTGGCGTTATTTCGCCGGCGTTTTGAGGATGAAACGTTTGGAATTCCATACAGCTCCGACACGTGACCGTGACGTCTAACGTCTCATTTCTTACGTCTAAATACTTATTTATACTTCTTCCCTATAATGACATTCAGTGAGTAATATCTGGTAGTATATTTTATTTTACCTTAAAGCAGTTTGACTGAGCACAAAAGCAGCTTCTTTGCTTCTGACCTTGTTCACAATGTGCGCACTAATAGGAATAGTCCTATTCGTATTTTATATGTCAAAGCCTGGGGATGAAAGTTGTATGCGAGAAAAAAATGGCATATTTAAACAAGTATTTTAAATACAAAATACAGTCTCTCGAAGTGTTTAATTACAAATTAAACTTGATTTATTTTTGTTATGGAAAATACAAAATTAATTAAATTACAAAAGTAATTAAATACGTATTTTAAATAGGCCTACGTGATTAAAAAACTGCCCATCTCTGGTTATATTCAAGGCCTGTACCAACACATATAAAATATAATATATTATATAGTATAATAACATAAATATAATTTTAATATAATATAATATAATATAATATAATAATACAATAAAGTTACGTTGCGACAATATGTCCATGACATGTGGGGCCAAACGATGTGGCGCGATCACTTTTGAATAAAGATCACAATTTCATTATAGTTGGTTTCCCTTCCACTCCAAGGCTGCAAATGCAATGTATGCCATTATTTACAATAGAGCTAAATTTACATGATCCTTTGAAATGTAATTGGTACCTTGGATTTATACACACAAAGCTGTGCTTTTTTTAGGATGGCTTGGACTCCACAGAAACCTGCTAAAATTGTTTTGCATTCTGCGGATTCTTTATCTAAGCGCGGCTTTAGGTATGAGAGACCTTAGAAGAAAATGTAGGCTTCTTTAGCAGAATATGCTCAAGACAAGACAAAAATACTCCGAAAAACTCACCTCAGGAAAGTAGTAGGCTACTGCGTTTTCTGAAATAATGAAATTTTCCCCCACTCCGGAGATAAACGTGAACGGTTATTTCCACGTCGCGATCACCATATCCAGTGGCACGCTGTTATAACGGTTATGATTACAGTCCGCAGCTTTGCAGCCTACGGAAAGAAGATTAACTAAAATAGTCAATATGGCCGGCGTTAGGAAGGGAGCACGAGACGTGGTTGTATGATAGATGAGAAGGGGAGACGTGCGCCTCTCCGTGTCAGTTGAAAAACCCACCAACAATATTTACTAGAATATGTGCCAACATGTGTAACGTCCTTGATGTTTTTCCCCCCACAAAATATTTTTTTCCCTGATATCTACTGTGTAAAGTTCGTGACCACTTTTACATATAAAAGAGGCTTGTCGGTTTATTATTATTATTATTATTATTATTATTATTAAACGTAGGCTATCTGTCAACATCGGAGTAAATGCTCGAAAATAACAGCAAGCAATTTGACGGCTGAAAAATAGGCTATTTTAGCAGATGTCCAAGTCACAGTTCACACAAAGCACTTTTCATCTTTTATAGGTCTAGTTATTTGTTTGTTTGTTTGTTTGTTTGTTTGTTTGTTTTGGGGGCATGGGTCACCCCTCATGCTGACAACTAGGATAAATAAATAATTATAAGGATAAATGTAACATTAACAATAATTAATAGGTCTATGTAAACTAATAATGAAAGATACATCTGCCCACGGTTTCACAAACGGCTTAACCCCAAGCCCAGACTAAAATGCATGTTTGAGCTGTTTTAACTGAAAGCAACTTGCACTGACATATCTTAAAATGTCAGTGCCATTGTTTTGTCTCAAGATGTTAATGTTTTTCCCCCAAGGCACGTTTATAAAAGCTACTTAAATGGCCTAATTGACCTTGAAGCTCTAATCCTGGCTAAATCTTATCCCTGTCTGTAAAACTGGGCCCTGATGTTTGAAAACAAATTAGGGAATCAAATAGGCCTATATGTGAATCAGTATTAAAATAGTACCTATTACACAAGTGCCTATGTGGTGCCATCTAGTGAAAAATTATTATTGTGCACTTTAGAACATAGTGAAAAGAGTGTCATTTCTGTTCTTTTAAAATAAAAAAGGCCACTTTATTTTTTTTAATAGTTTAACACAATTAATGACAAAAAGATATGAAATATAATTTTTAAAAAGTTGAACAAATAGGACAAAAGCCACTACTGCCTTTAAAAATATAATTAGATTCAGAAGTCTGATGTCATTAGCCCCAACAGTTCATGTTTCGAAAATCTGGCTTTCATCAGGGGTCCATTCTATGGGATTAATATCCTGCCATGATTCAAAACTGAAAATAAAGTTCTGAAAGGTTGAAAGTAAGTGTTTGAAAACTCAAAATCTTACAAAAAAAAGTTTTGCAAGATCGAAAAATAAGATTTGCAAGCTTGCAAAATGTAAAAAAATTAAAAATATCTCTGCAAACATTATGTTGTTTTTGAGATTTCCTTCTTCAGAACTGCAACATTTTTTTTACGATGTTGCGCAAACAATTTTTCATCGTAAAAAACAATTTTTCAGAGTTTCAAATTTGTCATTGTTCTCCCACTGTATTAGTTTGTTTTCCAGGTTTGAAACCTTGTAAGTGGTGATCTGAAAACTGGTGTGCGAATGTGTGAAAAAAAGTTTTGAAACTCTGAAAACGTCTCGGGTTACGTCTGTAACCCTCGTTCCCTGAGAAGGGAACGAACGCTGCGTCGAAAATCGACACTACGGGGAATGCCCTTAGCATGACGCGTCTGAAGCCTGAATAGAACTAGTCCAATCCTGATTGGTGCTGCGTGATGACGCCAGCCGTGACGTCGTAGGTGACGGTGAGCGGAACTATAAAACGGGCGCCGGAACCCGGAAGCGGCAGCTTTAAATAGTCCGAAGCAAGTCGTCTCCAGGGGCGCGAAGAGTGTGGCCGAGGGACGCAGCGTTCGTTCCCTTCTCAGGGAACGAGGGTTACAGATGTAACCCGAGACGTTCCCTTCCGAGGGAACTCCGCTGCGTCGAAAATCGACACTACGGGGAACGCAATGCCCACTGCGCCACACTAAGAGAGTACGCCCTGGTGTGAAGCAATCTGGCACACTCAAGACGAGAGAACCTGTGAACCCGGTGTAGAGGTCAGATCCAGACTGTAATGTCTTATAAACGTGTGAGGGGAGGCCCAGCCCGCGGCATCACAGACCTCCTGAAGGAAAACACCCGAAAGAAGGGCTTTAGAGGAAGCCACTCCTCTCGTGGAGTGGGCCTTAAGCAGAAGAGGTGAAGGCAGGTTGCGCACCTCGTAAGCTGCCGAAATAGCCTCTACAATCCATCTACTTATAGTCAGTTTGGAAGCAGGAGAACCCTTTTTAGGCGCCCCAAAGCACACAAAGAGCTGGTCCGACTTTCTCCAGCCTGAGGATCTCTGCATATAGACCTCCAGGGCTCGGACCGGGCACAGTAAATGAAGGTTAGCTTGCTCAACCGACACATGGGGTGGAGGATGAAAAGCCTGGAGGATAATAGACCGTGCCACATTTGAGGGCACTTTAGGGACATAGCCCGGTCTAGGATGGAGAATAGCCTTTACCTTGCCGG